CTGCCCTATTTCATCATCCGAAGGCAAGGGTGGAATAACGAAGTGCATGCCACCTTTGGGATTTTCGGCTGAGAACTCAATGCGTATGCGCAGACCACGACCCTCCTGAATCAACGGATAGCCTTCTTGTGGCACCACAATCAACAACTCCCCATTATTCGTATCCGGATCCGTGATTTGCGCTGCAGCCAAGTGATTCCTTGAGAAGACTTCCAGAGATCGGCTGGAACTTTAAACGAGTTAAAGACCTGTCACAAGCTTTGCTATGGATCAACAAACCTTTTGGGGTCCTTGCGGCATATATCCTGAAAGGGATCGAAGTAATAAAACTCGGCTTGGCAAACATCGTTGAGCACCACGTTATAAATTCGCAACTGCTTGGCATTGAGACGTATCAAACGTAAGCTGTCATTATTTGGCACTATCGTCAACTCAACCATGCCCTGTAAATCATGCATAATTAATATTACAATTGATGCGCTATTATTTTCTCTTACAATTATGCTGCGACGCTCAAAACTAATTCCAGTTAGGCTCACAACTTGATGCGCCGTGCTAGGGAAAAGAAAATTTGTTAGATGGCTTACTTTAAGCAACGACAGCCAAATACTTATAATTTAAATGGACGCAGCGTTTCTTCGGCAATCTCAGATTTGTTGTCCATAGTTGTTCACATTTAATATCTACAAATTTCACAAAATTTTTTAACAACTAACAATATCACAGCATTGTTTATTTTTTCCAATGCTGTATTTGTTCTGCTTTTGCGGCTTGCGGCTGTTGTCTAAAATGACAGCAAAATATACCAAATGCCGCTGTGGCAACTCTAGCAAACATCATGCAGCCCTGATTACAACTTTTAACACTGATGCTGTATTTGGGGTATTTTCAGCACCAATTAAATTTGGATAAAACATTAATCTCCAAAATAGCTATACAATGGAGTGTAAGTAGTTTAAATATTTAAATTAAGAAATTAAAGAGTTATTTATACTTACATTTATATCAACATTTACTGAAATATAGATTCTATTCAAACTCCTAATATTGTGATATCATATCAAGATTAATATCCGCATACACAAGGGTTAAGATGTGAATCATCTGGTATACGAAAGTTAAATTTGGATATTTCTCCCATTTAAAACGTATTTTTTCCCCAGTCGAGTCAGCACTTTTCACGCAAAAGCGGCTACCTGCGTTCCCTGTAATAGTTGTTTATAATTCCATTAGCTGCGTAAATCGATAAAGTTAATTAAATTCAAAGAACTGTGCAACAATGTACGGTATTGATAATTATCCAAAAAATTATCATGCCAGTGGCATTGGCCTTGTTAATTTGGCAGCTCTCGGCTACAACAAGAATGAAGTCAGCGACGACACGCAAGGCAAGCCGAAGTCTGGACTGTACCCTTCGCTGCCCTATCCAACATCGGAGTCCGTGGGTGGCATGCCATATGTGGTAAAGCAGACGGCCCAGGCACAGAATGCATCGTATCAAGGCATGCCCCAGCCATCGGCGACGCCGTATCCAAGCTCTGGCATGTATCCCAATCTGCCAGCCATGCCGTTGCCATATCCATCAACGCCGATGGCGCCCATATCGAGTGCATCCCCATATCCGAGTGCCACGCCTTATCCGAGTGCAACGCCTTATCCCAGTGCAACGCCTTATCCCAGTGCAATGCCCTATCCGAGTGCGACGCCCTATCCAAGTGGACCGCCGTCGTTACCGTATCCAACGACTGGAGGAATGGGTATGCCAGGCATGCCCATGCCCTATGCGCCCTTGCCCACAAGTCCGGCACCCCAATCGATTTACCCATCGATGCCAACGCCATCAGCGCCGCCAGCGAACGAGCCCACGCCTGAGGAGGAGCCATCTGTGGGCGTACAGGAGCTGCAGTTCACCAGCGTCAAGGTGCCTGAGAATCAAAACATGTTCTGGATGGGCCGCAAGGCGAGTACCACGCGTCAGCAGAGCACTCAAAACTTGGACTTTTCCACGCTGCGCGAATCCTGTGTGTCCAACAATACATTGTTTGAAGATCCTGATTTTCCGGCCAACAATGATTCCCTTATGTTCTCGCGTCGGCCGGATCGGTACATCGAATGGCTGCGACCTGGAGAAATTGTGGACGATCCGCAGTTCTTTGTTGAGGGCTACTCACGCTTCGATGTTCAGCAGGGTGAGCTAGGCGATTGCTGGCTACTGGCTGCGGCTGCGAATCTGACGCAAGACTCGAAGCTCTTCTTCCGCGTGATACCGCCAGATCAGGACTTCCAGGAGAACTACGCGGGCATCTTCCACTTCAAGTTCTGGCAATATGGTAAATGGGTCGAGGTCGTCATCGACGACCGTCTGCCCACCTACAATGGGGAGTTGATTTATATGCACTCAACGGAGAAAAACGAATTTTGGAGCGCGCTGTTGGAGAAGGCATATGCCAAGCTGCATGGCTCTTACGAAGCTCTAAAGGGTGAGTCCTAAATATACGTTTGCTTTATTAATATAAACATATTCTAACCATCTTAATCCTTAATCCTCTTCCTTAGGCGGCACCACTTGCGAGGCCATGGAGGACTTTACGGGTGGTGTCACTGAATGGTATGATATCAAGGATGCTCCGCCCAACCTATTCAGCATTATGACTAAGGCAGCAGAGCGTGGCTCAATGATGGGCTGCTCTCTGGAGCCGGATCCGCATGTGCTAGAGGCTGAGACGCGCGAGGGTCTGATACGTGGGCATGCGTATTCCATAACCAAAGTCTGTTTAATGGACATATCAACGCCCAATCGTCAGGGAAAGCTGCCCATGATACGCATGCGCAATCCTTGGGGCAACGATGCCGAGTGGAACGGTCCTTGGAGCGACGGTTCGCCTGAATGGCGCTTCATTCCGGAGCACCAGAAGGAGCAGATTGGCTTGAATTTCGATCGTGATGGTGAGTTCTGGATGTCCTTCCAGGACTTCCTCAATCACTTCGATCGCGTAGAGATTTGCAATCTCTCGCCCGACTCGCTGACCGAAGATCAGGAGCAGAGCTCGCGGCGAAAGTGGGAGATGTCCATGTTTGAGGGCGAGTGGACATCTGGCGTCACGGCTGGCGGCTGTCGCAACTTTCTGGAGACTTTCTGGCACAATCCACAGTACGTCATCACGCTGGAAGACCCCGACGAAGAGGATGACGATGGCAAGTGCACGGTGATTGTGGCGCTTATGCAAAAGAATCGTCGCAGCAAACGAAACGTGGGCATCGATTGTCTAACCATCGGCTTTGCCATTTACCATCTGACAGAGAGAGACTTGGAGCAGAAGCCTCAAGGGCTTCACTTCTTCAAGTATCGTGCCTCGGTGGCTCGCTCTCCACATTTTATAAATACACGTGAGGTTTGCGCACGATTCAAGCTGCCGCCTGGTCACTATCTAATTGTGCCCTCGACCTTCGATCCCAACGAGGAGGGCGAGTTCATTATTCGTGTGTTCTCCGAAACCATGAACAACATGGAGGAGAACGATGACGAGGTCGGCTTCGGCGAGACAGACGATCGTATTGCGCCTGCGCTGCCGCCACCCATAAAAGACGAAGACGACCCCCAGCGCATCGCGCTCAAGCGTCTTTTCGACAGCGTGGCTGGTAGCGACGAGGAAGTGGACTGGCAGGAGCTTAAACGCATTCTGGATCATTCGATGCGCGACGTCATGGTCGGCACCGATGGCTTCTCCAAGGATGCCGTACGCTCCATGGTCGCCATGCTGGACAAGGATCGTTCTGGTCGCCTGGGCTTCGATGAGTTTGAAGCTCTCCTAACAGACATTGCCAAATGGCGCGCCGTATTCAAGTTGTATGACGTACGTCGCAGCGGCAGTATCGATGGCTTCCATCTGCGTGGAGCACTCAACTCGGCTGGCTATCATCTAAACAATCGGCTACTCAATGCTCTGGCCCATCGCTACGGCTCACATGACGGCAAGGTGCCTTTCGATGACTTCCTGATGTGCGCCATCAAAGTGAAGACCTTCATTGAGATGTTCCGCGAACGCGATACTGACAATTCCGATACGGCATTCTTTAACCTAGACGATTGGCTAGAGCGCACCATCTACTCCTAGAGAATTACAGTTAATCCCGCTCCATTCAGGCGCAACCCATACTAATCCTAAGTGCCACATTTACTTATATACTACCATATCTATACAGATGCTATTCAGATGATGCACAGCTGCATGTCCATGACGCAGACTGAGCTTATCAAATAACAAACGATTGCTACAGTGAGACCACCACAAAGCGGAAATACAAAATCGTGTGCACATTAATTATATTGACCTTCAGTCGAGCGCTTGACGATAAACGTGCAAGTGCGAGGGAAGCGCAGAGAGCGCAGCAACTAAAATAAAAACCAGAAACTCAGCAGAACTTGCCGGTTGTTTACAGAGTCATTATATAGATACTATATGGCTCACATACACACCCATGCATATATATATATATTATGTATATCATATATATTATATATATATATAGTGTGTATCTATGAGTAATGTCTAAATCAAACTGGGTCTACATTCACATTCTATGCAATAGCCAAAAGTCGCCGCCAGTACAAAATGATATGTGCTTTATACAAGAAAGAAACTAAGAATCTAGCAGTATATAAATTTTACTATAATTTGTATGTATACATATGTATGTATTTTATCTATTTTTTGCAAAGTTTTTTGTTATGTTTTGTTGAGGTGCTCGATCAAAAATTGCGTCTAAGAAATTAAAAAAAAAAAAAAAAATGATTGGAAATGAAATATGGATTATAAAAAAAATATAAATTATATATTATTACATAGTTCTTTTGGCTTGAATACTCAGTGAAAAAAAGTTGTTTAAAAGCGTGAATCACAACTGTCAATAAATATGTATACACTTTTTCTAATTAATTATAACTCTAATTGTAATTGTAATTGTTATCAATTAATATATTGTTTCATCGTTCTTTTCACCACATAATCAAAATTTTTATTTAACTACAACGATTTCCGTAGCACCAGTCGGTGCGCCAGCCAAGACGAGTGTTTCCTTCATTTCCTCATAGTTCAAATCTGACTCAGAGCAGAGTATTTGCAGCACCTCAAGAAAATCTTCATATTCCAGACGCCACTTTCTGTGGAAATATGTACGTGTCTGATCAGATTTCAAATATAATGATATCATCGGTATGCAGATATACTTATAGCGCATATAGATTAGCCCGGTTTGTGTGCGCGTAATGGGCACAGGCATTAGCTTGGCCTGCTCCAGCCAGCAGTCCAGTTGCGAGAGCAGAATACTATGATATTCCTGGTTTTCTAGATCGGAGCCAATCACCTGAGCAAAGGCGGTTCACATATAGATTGGACAACTACACATATATAGCAGTGCAAGGTAAATATATATATAGACCTTATGATTGCAGTAAATGCGAAAGAGCGACTCGATCGTGTGCTTCTTTGGTTTATCGTCGTCATCGGCCATGGTGCTAGAGAGACTATATATACTAAGGAACTAAATGAAATATACTATGTATATAAATATATATCCATATATAAGGCAGACACTACAGAGCCAATGCTCCAAGTACACTTAAGAGCGTATATATTTGGAAATGTTTTCTTATTATTTGTTGACAACCAAATTGCCAGGCAACTAGATATACAGACGTACATATATAAATATGCATATATATATTGTGTTCATATGTGTGTATTTGATTTGATTTCGTTGCCAAGAGTCCCGACCGAAGATATCAGTGTCGTTGCCTTCTCTATTCGTTCTGCCCCGGCTCCTGCACCTCAACGTTCTGTGCGTTGAATTTATCTACGAGACGTTGCACGTAGCTGACGAGCTTCGGCAGTGGCTTCTTGCTGCTGACATCGCAGGTGCGATAGGGTGGCGCAATAGTCACCTGCTGGAGCACCATTATGTCGTTCTGCTTCCAGGAGAGCTCGCTGTTGCCGAAGTGCTTGGAGAGCACATTATACAACTGTATGCCACGTGGTGTTGCATTCTCGTTGCGGCTGCGCAGCAACTGCTCGCGTTGTTCCACAGTCTGTCGCAGGCGCTGATCCAACTGCAAGTAGAGAGAAAGAGATAGATATAGAGAGCAAGGGCGATATAGATCAAGTAACTCAAAGCCCCTCTTGGAGGCACTTTTCTACATACGCGCGTCAAATTGAGGCGAGTGGGTTGCTCGCTCAGCGTCTCTGCTGCCTTGGCCTCGCGGATTATTTCCAAATTCTTGCAAAAGTCTAAATTTACAATGGTCTGACTGTCCTTGTTCGGAGACCTCAAAATCAACATTTTGACGCTGTGCTCGTAGGTGACCACCTCGCCGATAATGGTATCACCAAAGCAGGTCTCCACATGCAATTGGGTACCAATGGGGAAAGGATTGAAAGACATTTTGCTCGGAAAAATGAAAAATGTTTGACAGTGTTCGGTAAAACGTTTTACGTAACAGTGCTGCTAAGAGTTGCCAAATTGTATAGTTAATTGTGCAACACACTAGCTCTAGAAAATTCAAGTCATGTAGCAAAAAATATCCCTTTTAAAGGGGAATTTCCCCTCCCCTTTTTATAGTAATCAAACTTTAAGGGGAATGCTTTTTTTTTAAGTTTTTCGTTTTATTTCATTTTATTTACATTGTATGTGTATGTATGCTAAATATATAACTAAATATAAATGTTGTTTATATATATATTTTATTAAATATATATATTTATTTTTTTCCAAAATTAAACCTTTCCTTTTAATATTATTTATACGATGTTTTATCTTTAAATTTAGTTGTTTTTGCCATTGTAATTGTTGCACGAGCGTTGATTTTTCTCTATTAAATTGTTGTTCTTCAAGACATTTATATATATTATTTAGTTAATTGTAACTGTATGTGTTTGTAGCTCCATTAGCACTATTAGCTATACGCTATATCTAACGCCCGAAAAAATTGGTATATATGTGTATAAAAATGAAAACATGCTTTATTCTTGATCTAGGCGTTATATGAGAAGAGTGCATTAATAAATTCTTGGAGAAAAGCAAAAATAAAAACAAACAAGTTCTAAGCGCATAATATATATATTGAAAATATCAATATCGAAAAAATATGAAACAAGCACGTACATAAAACAAAAAATATATTTATACAATTCAAGAACACATACGTATAAAAGTATTTATATGTATATAAATATATTTATATATACATAATTAATGGCGCTTGGATATTTGTAATAAAATCTGCTTCCATATGCAGTAAATGTATTTGCCATTTTTCAATCCGTCTGCCTGTCCTAAGCAAGTCCGTCTGTCTACTCTGTCCCTTGGTCTAATAACTGCTTAGAGTTTTTTAGTCCCCATTTAGCACTTTTAATGTGTATTCGTTTTAAGCATCTGCTTTGTTTCTGCACTTATGTAATGTTGTAGTTTTTCCATCTAAATTTAAGTTTTCATTTTAGGTTTTACGCGCCCGGTTTAAAGTCTTAATTAATTGTGGAGTTACTTTGCTGACGATTTAGCTAAGTTTAATATTAATTCAACACGAATAACTCTTGTAAGATGCGCGACAAAACTACATGTTTTTGTTTTTGCTTTTACATTTAAATATATATATATATATATGATTTTGTTATGTTTTTGTTTTTGATTAGGAGCTTGGCGGATCTGCATATGAAAATGTGTTAGAATTGCGTTGCCCTTGTTGTTGCTGTTCGTGTTCAAGTTTCGGTTGCATTACGTTGTAAGGGATTCATTCTTGTTTAATATCAAAAGGAATGATATATATGCATAATATATATGTGTGTGATATATATATATATATTTATAAAAATAAAACAATGCACTTTCGCTTTAGCCGACGCGTCGCGAATCTAACATGGGACCATCGATCGCGCTAACCTTTAGTCGGAAATAGTAAACGGAACGCGCCAACATGCTTGCCGCAATGAAGAACAATGCAATGTAAAGAATATACATGCCGCCGTGTTCCTGTGGATAAATAGAAAGATTGTGTTTAATGCTGTTCTCCATTTGTCTGTTGTCTATTCGTAGTTACCGATGCGTATGAGATTGTGCCAACGGTTAGACCAATGCTGCCAACGAGGAAGAGCAATGCGACGATAGCAAACAGAATTCCGCGACTATTGGCAAATCGCGAGCCCACCGAAGAGACCTTCCTGCAGTGAGGACAGCGAGCCAGGGCGTTGTGATAGGTGTTAAACTGTGGATAGCAAACAGAGCTGGGTAAGTCCTTGGTGCTTGGTGACGGCTTGCTCTTGCTCTTACCAAAAACGTGTCCGAGCAGTGACCACAGGTGACGCGGCACATGCCCGGCATGGTGGGCACTGGTGGTGTCACTGGACTGGGAGCGAGATTGATGATGCGCTTGCAATTGGGACGAGGGCAAGCGATGCGTTGCGATGAGCTCTTGCAGATTAACAAACAATTGCAAGGACAGCGCACATACTTCTTGCCGGGTGGTGCGTTCCTTATGGGCTGCAATGGAATGGGAAATAAGTATTTTGGGTAGGATGGCAAAAGGACATACTAAGCACCACTCACAGTTGCCTCATTGCAGTGGGTGCACTTGACCACATGTTGCTCCCGTTTTGTGGTTATGTCAATCATATTTTGACACACGCGACAGGTGACCATTGGTACGCCACCTGTGCCGCTGCTCTGATACGGCGGTGGCAGCTCATCAGGACCAATAAAAGGCACCGACTGCTCGGTGCTGCCTGTAAATAGCAAAGAAACGAGTGAATATGTCAGTAAAGAGCAAACTGAAGAAGTGGCGACGATAAACCTTTAGTGTAAAACAAATACATCTTGATGCTGTTGCAACTGTTGTTGCACTGTTACTGCTGCTGTTGCAAGCTGGAAGCTGCATGAAAGCAGTTGATTGAGGGCGATTGATATCGGCTCAAGTGGGTGTGGCAGCCATGCAGATTAAGGCAAGTGGGTCAATGTTTAGACACTCTCGATTACCAACCGCAACTAGAAAATCTACATTTAGACGCCTCATTGCAGTTTCAAACAAGTTCTTTGATTCTCTCCGATTCAAGGGGAGAGAGCCTAGTACGTCAAGCTGCTGCTATAAATAGCGCACAGCTTAACCCTGAAAGGGCTGCAGTGATCAGGTTCTTGGCACCAAACAAAAGAGTAAGTGCAAGGGGAGCGGCGTCGGAACAGAGCCCAACATTTGTCTGCGCGAAGATAATGGAAAAACAGGCGCATGACTCATGAAGTGCCTCTCTGCCTGCCAGCCTTTGCCTTCACAGTGCTGATTAAACAGCTGAACGACGACGACGGCAACGACTGCGCAGCGCCGAATTGATATCAGGGCATAAACAAAACAATAGGCATGCAAACGAGTTTATATTTAAAAGCCGACGATTTAATATGCTTTCGATAAGCAGTTGTGGGAAAGGCTTAAAAGTTATTAACAAATAGTAATTGCGGTAGCGATAGTAGCTGATGGGGGTTATAGTATATAGACATAGTCGACGCTTGAATACACTCATAATTAAATAAATACTTTTATAATCAATGTATCTATGTTTTTTAATGATATATTTATTTTGCATATCTTTGCAATGCCAAACTCTATATATATTATTTTTATATGTTAAATGATCTTGAGACAGATTAAATAGATAATAAAAGAAGCTGTAGAAATATCAGGCTCAAGGTATCTTATGTCACATTGAAAAAGTTTACTATATAATATTAAATGATATCAATTTCTTTGAGTCTGGTAATCAAAACTCGTCCATTTCTGATTTGATTTACTATTTGTCATATCTTATTAATATATGCTTGAAACATTTATAGCATTATTCATTACAGATTATGAGCATCTGTTACTAACGCTTTGACATAGCTGTGAGTGTCGCAAGTAATGTAACCGTATGACAATTGGACTACGATTCGGCATCAAGTTACGAACTTTCTTTCGAATGTCTCGCAGTAAACGTGTAGTTATGGCACACGCCCACATTCACACCAATGAGGCGCACCATATCAATGACTCAGAGGGAAGTGCGAAAATCTGGGTATGCAATGTTAGACGAGAGCGACAGCTAAACAACTAAACAACTGGAAATCACAGTGGCTGCTAAGTAGAGCGCACACTTGTTGGGTTTCCAGTCAAAACGATTCACGCCCGCATAGATCCATATGCACGCATGCTGGCGAACGCATGGGCGGGGTGAACGCACTTATTTCTATTTTGCCTAGCCAAAGGTTTATTGGGTTTACAGTTTTCAAATTGTATTACTTACCATCTTCGTTATTGGCTACAGCGCTGCTGCCGGGATTTTCGCTGCCTTCGGTTGGGAACGATGTATACGAAGTCGAGGTCGGTTCGTCTTTGGTGATCAAGCTTTGTCTCTCGGGATCAGCCATATCGGCACTTATTCTCTTATTTTCCCGTTACTAATGCACTCACTCAAATTGCAATTGTCGCTGCTGTTGTTGTTGCTGTCGCTGCTATTGCTTTATGTATATTGCAACGCAAATGCTTCAACTGCAAATAATCGAATAACAAACAACACCAAAATTATTTGAATGCTCTATAAGCATATTTGTAGTTGCTTAAACGACAGCCAGCGGTTTCTTTGTTTGATGCATTCGCATGTTTTTTCCTACATTGTTTTTTTTCTTTTCCACTCTTTGCTGTTGAATCCTCCCTTTTCGGCATGCGCCGCAATAATCAATTTTATTGCTTTTTAGCCGCAACGGGCTTACAAAACCAACACACTGGTTCGATATTTGTCACTCAACAAGCCGATATATAGAATTGTGCTAATTGATTGATGTTTTTATTTTTCCTTTGCTATAATTTACCTTATTTTGTTGAAATAGCACTGCTACTGCCTTCGACGCACATTTAGTCACTTGGCCACACTGTTCGTTTAGTTTGGTCACACCGAACACTTCCCCTCATTTTGCAGCCCTGCAGTTATCTCTGCAGCCCTAAAATAGAGCTGTCGCTGCCGACCAGCTGATGTACGTATTTACGATCTGAGTGCAGATGGCGGTCAAACTCTAAAATGGCTCAGAATAAAGAAAAACACCCATCGAAAAAAGATGTTGAAGAACCCAGCTGTTGCAGTTCAAAAGTTAGTAATGCTTATAACAGTTCCAGTGATTCAGAAACAGAATTGATAAATCTAAGCCTGCGACGCAAATCACGCCAACGCCAGTATACACAAAGCTTCTCATTTAAACCGTTGCCACTGAGAATTATTGGACACGGGGAAGTAGAATCCATTTGTGGCACTTCAAGCTCAGTACGTGAAGTGACTCTGGGTGCTCCGCAATTTATTGAGGATAGCTCGGATGTAGACGCGGACCCTGATTTACATATATCCAATGACAGCAGTGATTCCACAACTAATAGATCCATTGTATATTCTGGTAGATCTCTATCTAAATCTGATATTGCTGTCAAGAGAACAATACGCAAACGTAAAACTCGAAAGAAAATAATCTGTTATAGAACTATGTAAATAAAAAATATAAAAGATAAGAAAAAAAAATATATATATATAAATTTGTTGTATTTAAATTCAATTGCAATCAAAACTGTCAAGTGCAAATGTACAGGGCTGACTGCGACGGTCGCTTTGCAACACTGGACCAGGGCTACAGATTGGTTTGTGCATTTTGGAGTAGTGGTCAATTTTTACAAGCATAACTATTTATATGCGGTTTTTATGTAAATAAACCAAAGCATACGTAGTCAAATAATTCATAAAGTGTAAGTAAAGCATGTAAACAAACATCTAATGGGCTGCAATGCATAAGATTGTTGTCTTATGGCAAAACAGTCGCGTGAAAATGTGCGATGATTTCATTTTGTGGTGGTGCTGCTGCTGCGCGTTGTTGTATTGGAAACTTCGTCGTATCTTTGCTTTGATGCTCGTTGTTGTTGTAGCTGCTGTTATTGTTGTTGCTGTTGTTGGCTTAGGTACGGGAAACACAGAGCCAAACTAGCGGCGACGTCAGCGACGCACACAAATGTTTATGTAGTTGCTAGAATGTGATTTAGGGCGGCATAGACAGCAACAACAACAAAAACAACTATAGAGACAACATCAACAATGAGAACACCTGTTTCTAATTGATTTTTCGCATTTTCAGCAACGCTTTCAGATCAATGACTTAACATCAACAACTGTGTTCTGGCATTATTGAGAAAAGAAAAGAGAAAGAAATAGAAAATCTGAAGTGAAGTGCCACAAAACATAAGAAACAGACCAATTATAAACGAATTTGCTATATATAGAAAATAGGCAAAGTAGATAAAGCCAATAAGCAACGAACGAACGAAAATTTCTAACCCTGTTTGACCACCGACTAGTAAACAACATATAACGCATAAGATATGGAGGCCCCACCAAGGTTTAACAGCGTCGAAGACGAGTGCAGATACTGGAAAGAGCGCTCAAAACAGTATCACAAAGAGTATGTATTCAAAGAGTATATCGGATAATAGAGGTTATTAATGTGTTCGCCTTTACGGTTTGTAGGTGGACAGACGTCAAACAGGAATACGATGAGTATGTTGAACAGTCGAGAGAAATGGAAGCTGAAATGGACGCCACTCTGGAGCAAAAACAGAGTATAATCAAAGATCTCAGAGCCAAGCTTAATATGTTAGAGAAAGAAAACGATTCCCTCAAGGTATGCTCAAGTGATTTTCAATTAGCTGAGAGCTGAAAATAAATATGATTTCTCTTACAGCTCAAGCTGGACTCCCATGGCATTGAAATGTCAAATCTAGATAAGCAGCTGGAGACGGTAAAGAAGGAACGCGATTCCATGAAAGAATACCTGCGACAATTGGAGCAGAAAAACGATGATCTGGAGCGTGCACATCGCATACTCAACGAGAGCATAGTAGACTTTGAGAAGATGTTGGACAAAGCCTATGAAAAGAATGCACTCCTCGAGATGGAGGTGGACGAGAAGGAGGTTCTGCAAGAGAAATTACAGCGACTAATGGACGAGACTCGTGGTGAGTATTATAGGCAGCTTAAGAGTTAAGAGCTTCATCTCATTGGCCTTCCCTTTGCAGATCTCAAACAAGAGCTCAATGTGAAGTCGCGCTACACACCAGCGAATGGCACAACAACAACAACAACAGTATCATCAGCAGCTGGCAACAGTTCGATGAACTCCTCAGCATCGCTGCCCAATGGTATTGTGGCCAATGGTGATATACTGCTGCAACATGACAATGCCGCCAAAAAGGCGACTAGCATGAGTGTGAATGCTCTAAATGGCAGTTTAAATAATAGAAACGAATATAATCAACAGCAACATTCGCTTAAAAGTAAGATACTCCACTCATTGAAGCAAACAAAACGCGTACTCAAATTGTCAAAATCAAAATCAATATCAATATCGAAATCAGCTTGCTATACCAAATCAAAAAATTGCTTTTAGTCTTCATCCACAATCACAACACACAGCATTGCCACACAATTGCACAATTTGTTAAATGTATAAATAAGTTTTTTTTTTGTAATTTTATTTTTTATTTGCTGTATTTCTGTATGCACAAAATTATTAAATGTAAGCCAAATTTGTAATATTTGCAACATTTTTCGTAGGCAATCCATGTGTGTGTATCAAAATGTTTGTTTGCTAAACGTGTTGTTCCTAACAATCATGTCATCATCTCGCTAATTAATTGTGTGTCTTAGGCCTAGTCTACTGATATAACTAACCAAGCCGTGTTTGTGTGCTTCCTTTGCAGATCCCGAGAACCTTATCAATGGCAATGCTATGAATGCCAGCTCCCGCACCACGGCGCTCAACATTGTGGCCGACATGTTAAGAAAACTGAACGTAAGTCCCTTAAACCAAATATATAATCAAGTCAAGCATGGTGCCAGCAACGCTTACTTAACACTTTACGTTCTTCTCTACCTGTATCCCTGCTATTAGTTTGTGCTTTATCCATTTTCTGTTTGGCTCTTTTGTTGTCTTTTTTTGTTCAATACTTTCTTCATATGTTTTAGTTGGACAAGGCCTTGTTATGTCCTGATTGTCAAAAGTTTCGCTGCACTTGTGAGCGTGCTGCACTGTCGCCAGGCAGCGAAACGAGTCTCTTTCGTCGAGCCTTCGTCAGCACGAGCAGCGCAAGTGGCAGCAACTCCGCTTTGGCAACGCCCAGCAGCGAGGGCAGCAACAGCGGCAGCTGGACGGACTGCAACGCCAGCCGGCGAGCCAGTTTGGCTAGCCTACAGTTTGGCACAAACATATTTAAGCGCTTCGCTGAGCGCATGCGCAGCATACAGGACCCTGAGCGAATGCCAGGGCCACCTGAGCTGTGAGGCACAAACCAACGATATTTGTAATTGCTTTTGGCTTTTGTCTAATGTCTATTTTTGGCGCTTGCATTTATTAATTGCCTTACGTTAATAAATAACAAACCATTTAATTTGTAACTGTATCTGTTCGTTTTTTGTTCGTTACATTGTGTTGTCTTGTGTTGTGAAGATCATGAATGATTATTTATGTTTCCGTTTTGCATTGCAGGCCATGGAGACAAAGCTGAAGACATATCGCGAGCACGCGCCGCCAATGCAGCCTCGTCAATGACCATCAGCAGCCGACAATGGGCGACTATTGCTGGAGTAGGCGAATTGATAGCTGGGAGCAGCAGCAGCAGTAGCAGCAATCGCCACATGTGGCAGCTGCACAGTTTCGCCTGCAGTTGCAGCAGCAGCTGCCGTTTTGTTTAGTCTTATGTTTATGATTACAGTTAATGCGCTACTGCCCCTCGATTATTTATTTTCTTACATTGAAATGACTTGTAAAAATGAACAATAGTTATTCAACAACAGCAGCAAGCAACTAGTAAATAATACGACATTATTTACATAGTCTGTGAACATCGATGCCCCGCCCAACATAACTGATAGCGCCTTACTAAGTACTTGTATTGTAATTACATTAATCTTAAGTCTGAAGCTAATCCTCTTGATTTCTCGTGTTTTAAGCATTGTTGAACGGCCTTCGATTGTTTAGTTATTCGGCAAGACATTCATGGAATGTCTGTAGGTACATCTAGAGTATAGTCATGTCCTGACGGAGCTTTGTTAGTGCACCAATACATGTACATTTAGCACTCACAGACATACAACACACACACACATTTCGGACATGGCTTAGCGCGTAAGAAATACAACTTAAGTTCAGCTGAGTCGAAAGTATTACAGCCCCAATATCCCCACACACACACACACACACACAGATACAGACACAGACACAGATATACAGATACTATTAAAGTGGCAACAAATACTCGTAGCATTAGAGTGAGGTTGATGAAGATCGTGTGGCACTTACACTTAAGTTAAAGACACCCCCAGAAATATTTAGTTAAATTTAACAACGTACAAAATATATAAAAACGAAAGCAAACAATTTAAACATTTTCCGTTTATATTTTCAATTGAATATAAATTATGTAAAAATGCAACAGAAAATTGTTAAAATTCAATAAAACAAATGTTTTTTTTTTTTATATATATATTACAAATTGTACAACACACGCTAAATTATAAATAAAAGAGATGATTAGTTTTAAATAGAAACGTTTTGTTTTTGTTCTATGTTGCCTTTGTTGGATTCTGTCGCATATGCTCTAAATAATGAATCAACTAAATATTTGTATTAATTTAGCGCGGGCTATGCCAAGGACAAGCTACTACAGGCTACCTAACACACACATAGACATACACACACACACACACGCACACCAATACACACTACTCCTGAAAGCTTTTTAGAGCAGCTTTCACTTCTCCTTTTTAGCACATTTGGTGCGGGTTGGTCTTTGGCGCATTACCCCAGCGAATTATGCTGTGCATGGAGCATGCCACAGCGTAGCTGACCTTG